TAGTGAGGCTTTTGTCCTGTGTTAATTATTTCATACTTGTATATCTGCCTTTTTCTTGTTACCTTGCTGTTTTAAGGCCCACCTACACTACAATTACAATTGAGTCAAAGAGCTGGGGTAGAATACAGTTATCTTCTAGCCAGTTACCTCATGGTTCAGTTCTGGAGTCTAAATGAGCCCTCAGCTTTAGCCTCTTACTTTATAAGTTGCTATGGTCAAAGTTACATGTTGGACACTAGAGTTTTCTCCTATATCATGTCACATGCTTCACACGATTGCTGATATCTAGAGATACATTAAGCTTGTCTCTCTCACAGGGCCGGCTCTAGGCACCAGCAAAACAAGCTGGTGCTTGGGGCGGCCAGAATGCCGCCCCTAAAAATGTGCCCTGCCGCCCTAGCTCACCTCCGCTGCTGCTGCCACGGCGCGCGAAACACCTGATTCGCGTGCCGCTGCTCGCCCTCCCTCCCAGGCTCCCAAGCCTGGGAGGGAGGGGGGAGACCGAGCCGCGTGGCGCGCGAAACAGCTGATTCGTGCGCCGCTGCTCCCCCTCCCTCCCAGGCTTGGGAGCCTGGGAGGGAGGGCGAGTAGCGGCATGCGAATCAGCTATTTTGCGCGCCATGGCAGCAGCAGCGGAGGTGAGCTAGGGCGGCAGGGCACATTTTTAGGGGCGGCATTCTGGCCGCCCCAAGCACCAGCTTGTTTTGCTGGTGCCTAGAGCCGGCCCTGTGAGAGAGACAAGCTTAATGTATCTCTAGATATCAGCAATCATGTGAAGCATGTGACATGATATAGGAGAAAACTCTAGTGTCCAACATGTAACTTTGACCATAGCAACTTATAAAGTAAGAGGCTAAAGCTGAGGGCTCATTTAGACTCCAGAACTGAACCATGAGGTAACTGGCTAGAAGATAACTGTATTCTACCCCAGCTCTTTGACTCAATTGTAATTGTAGTGTAGGTGGGCCTTAAAACAGCAAGGTAACAAGAAAAAGGCAGATATACAAGTATGAAATAATTAACACAGGACAAAAGCCTCACTAGGAAAACATTTAATGAAAAAAAAGGGATAAATGAAATGTGTGGAAATGAAATTTTAAGAAGAAGTTACTTCTGCTATTATATCCTCTACAGAGGAGATCCCAGCAGCTCCTGGGAAAACTGGAGAGAGGCACTGAGGGAAATGTGATCAGTCAGACCCCAAATGGTTCATTGAACACAAGTAGGAAAAAGATGCCACATTTTTCTCCAGCAGCTCATACGGTTAGCTCAGCCAACTCGGTGCAGGTTCCTGCACTGATTTCCAGTGACTGTTGTGAGGGAACAGGGACTATATCAGACGTTACATTTGAGATACTCAGCCAGGCGAGGATCCTTGCACAATTTCTCTTCCAGTTCTATGTATTTCTGTGGCGCCATCTCTTTGTGTCTAAAATAAGGAGGAAATCAGAGGAAGAAGCTGCATTGTATTAGATGATGATGATGAGATTAAGTGGAATATTTTCAGATGATGAAATTATCAAACAATTGAAATGCAAAGCCCCAGTGAATCTCCATCCGTAGATCTCCCTTAAATCACTCCTGTCAGACTGCCACACATTTATTAAATACTTGTTGTTATTACCTGTTAAGCCGTATTTCCAGAATGCGGATACAGAACATGGCATCAGAGCAGTAGGTTAGGTAGGCATCCTCATCCTCCAAGGTCATAGAGAGCTGGTTTTGCTGGTACCACTGTTGTTTCTTCTGCAGCTCCTGTGTTTCCTGATGGGAAGAAGGAACAAATCAGGGTATTAGGGGGAGAGAGAGAGATACAGAAGTAGTGTATCAAGATTAAAGGAACCAAAGGAAGGAAAAAAGAACGTAGAAGAAGAAATGTAATAAGTGAGAAGCAATGAATGAGATGAGGACACATAGAACAAGTAAGCAAAATATGGAAAGCAAGGGAAGGAGAGAGAAACATAGAAGCGCTGCCTCCTTGGAGATAAGAAACATTGGGGGTCAAATTCTGCTCTGATATAAGTTGGAACAAATCTACTGAATTTGGTCCTAGGGCTATTCTGCCCTTTGTTCTCCTTGGGTAAAGACAGAGAAACATGAGGGCATATATACTGCCTCCTCCTAGACAAGAGATGTTGGAGGACTGTTGCTTTTTCACTTGCTGTAAAATGAAGAGAGAACCCCACATGTTGCCCACTCCCAAAGCAAAGGAGACCAAACCAAAGGAGTGAACAAAGAGAAGGTGGGTGGGTACCTTCTCAAAGCGAGCTTGGATGAGGTTGGCCTTGTCAATGAGACGGTGTTTGAAATCATTCAGGCAATCTTCCTTGAGGCGTAGGGCTTGCCACTTGGACATCTTCTCTGTGCTGCCCATTTGAATCAGGAAGGGTGCCAGGTAATCTAGGTCCTGCTCCACTTGTCGCTGTCTCTCTTCTTGCATCAGACGCTCCTGGAGGGTAAGGGTGAGAAGAACTAGTGCCCCAAACATCCCTGTATAGGGCACTACCATAGCCAAGGGCAGACTAGCTGTCCCCCCCTGCCAGGGACATAACAACTCACCAAGATCTGACCAGAGCTGTTTGCTTTTCACCGACTGTTTCTTGTACCAACCATTTCCCACATCAAGCCCCAATCTGATTATTATTCTGTTACCTAATTTTTGGCTGTGCTTTTCAACAACTCTCCCCATTCCCCTAGAATACAGAGCTTGTCCCATACATGAAATGTCATCTCCTCTGGCGTGGGAAGGGCCCCACAAGGTACACTGTCATTCTGGGTTTGAAGTGGTTCAGAGTGGAGGGATGTGTTGCATTTGAAACCTTTCTGGGCGATATTCACCTGGTTGAACTGGCTGACAAATGTTTGCTTCTGGACTGCTTGTCTCAATTTTCTGTTCAGTCCATAGGTGCTTGACATTTAAAATCTAGTACCTCTTTTTATTACCCTTCTCATCAGGAGAGCACCTACAGTATTGTTCCTGGACTTTATTGTTACAGTTGTGCCCAATACAAAATCTATACCAAAGAAACATCTTGTAGAGAACTGGAATTTGTAAACAAGCCATGTAACAACCTCAGATAGCTAGACTGGAATATCCTTACATTTGTCCAGAAAACTCATATGGGTATTAATTCCTCAAGAGATATTCTGGGCCCAAATCAATATTGTTGTTATCAAAAAGACTAAGAACGGTGGAACCATCTATTCCAAACCTGGTACTCAGGGAAGAAGTTAAGTATCAGAGGGGTAGCCGTGTTACTCTGAATCTGTAAAAAGCAACAGAGGGTCCTGTGGCACCTTTGA